CTGCAATCTTTGGCTATGTCTTGGGCTACTCAAATATTTTACGTTTTTGATACTAAATTAACTTCTGAAGTATAATTTTTTATTGTTTTTATATTTTTCAATATATTTATTTTGTTTGTACAAAATAAAGAAATAATTTTTAACAATACAATAGTCACAATTATTATTATAAAAATTTTCATTAGTCTTTAAGATCGACGAAAATTCAATGCAAAGCGACATGCAATGGAGAAAAATTTAAACATAGGATATATTAATATACTATTATTGGGATATACCAGGGGTCGGCAGTTTGTCAAGTGAGAAGAGCCAAATTGTCATGAAAACAGGATAACAAAAGTACCAGAGAGCCGCATATTAATTTAAATGTGCGAAATACGACACACGACAGGGGCGCCTCTAGTGGACATTTTTCGCATAACGTTACACGGATGGACGGACACGCATTCAATGCGTTATACATATAGATATGCTTCAAATGCTACCACTCTTATGCGACACATATTGATCAACGCGAGTGTGGTCGTGTGCGGACGGCGTATGATTCTATCTCATAAAGGCATAAGTTATAAGGCTGCGGTGAAATGAGGTGAGGTGAAATTGGAGTTTATGTCCGAAGAGCNCTAGTTACTTGTTTTACCAAGGTTATCTTTGTTTAACTTAAAGTCTAAATAATTAGTGGATGTATTTTTGAAATTAACTTTCTTAATAATTGTAACATAATATTCTGTTCTACTTTTAATTTGAAAAAAAAAAAAATCTAATATATAAAATTATAATGCTTCAGAAATACAGTAGAGTTCCACTAATCTGAACATGTTTGTCAGCAGAGAGGAAATTTTCTCTAACAAGAGGTGGTAACAACCTCCTCCACTTAGGGGTGTTCTTTCTCTTTCCTGATTTAACCACATGAATAAAGTTTCATCAAGTTTGTCAAATGTTGAGGGTCTTGCTGTTTGTCAATTTTCAACTGATTTTTTTTTTTGAAGTAAAGGCATAAAACTGCTTGATCTTTGCATGGTTTTTTTCCAGTCGGTTATTGTGGCCTTGCCCACTCAAAACTCTACTGCCAATTTCATTACACTTTCACCCTTGTCCAGTCTTTCCAAAATGTCTAGCTTATCTTTCAATGCACACATTGTGTGTTTCTGTTTCATGGCCATTGTAGCAGCAGACTAAACTAAACTAAAATAATGTAGAGCAAAGAGTACATTCAACATCCACAATTAATCATGCGAACTCACACAGTAGCATTAGTCAACTGATTGGAATCCTGGACTATGTATTAAAAACAATGTTTTTTACAGTTAAAATAATTTAAGTTAAACAATGAAGACAGATTGCCATTTCAAAATTACAAAACTTGTTTTTGTTAACTATTTTTGTTCTCTATTGAGTACAAGTCAGATGAAATAAAGGGTGGTGCACTCACGTCATTGATGATGTTGGATCTATATAAACCAGACCTGTTTTACTGCTTGCTTCTGCATTATTTCATTTATTCGGCTAATCCAAACAGGACTCGGGCCCAGTTAGTTCGGACTAGTGTGACTCTATTGTATTTAAAAAGTATATAAATACATGCTTCTGTAACTAAAATGTATATTTACTTTTGTCTGTTTAGTAACATTTTTTAATAAATACTAAAAAACTGAATTGAATTTCTAATAATTTTATTTACTTATTAGGTCTTTTGGTTAATACCACCAACAGAACATAATATTCAATTATATGAACAGTGGGTTCTTTCTGGAAAACAGGGTGATGTTTTCTTTGGTGATACCGTTGAAAAATGTGCAAGAATACATTTATATGATGGCTACACATTTTTTATTCCTACTGGTAACCAGCATATATTATAATTATATATATAGATTAGTTTATTTTTAAAATTTTATATATCTATCAAATTATTACTCTTTGAGACTAAAAATAATTTCATTCCTATTAAAAAATGAATTATTGGAAACTGAAAAAGAAAGATTATATTTGGATCAAAAAATAAACTTAAAAATTTTTAAAATTCTGTTGAATAGAGACCAATAATAATTTGCATTCATTGATTTTGTACATATTAAGTAGAAACAAATTAAATCATGTACTAAAATAAAAACAAAACTTTTTCAAAAATGTTATTTATTGTTAATTTTTGTATTATCTATTAAACTTAAAAACAAAATTAAGTTCCAATCTCTATAAATGGTTAAATTTCATTTTATTAGAAAGGTAATTAATATAAACTAAAATTATTAAATTAAAATATAACAAATCCTGAGTATTTTGAACCTCTCAGCTCATCAATATAGGTGTTTACTTAGCAAAGAATATCCAAACAATTCAAGAACACTAGAAGTCTTAAATTTAAATTCATTCCAAACTTGTTGCAATCTCCAAATTCATGAAAAGACGAATTGTAAAACTATTTCTAATCTTCTGGACTGATTCAATCATAATAATCTATTTTTTTATAAAAATATACTAGAACTTTTTTAATACTAACATTCATTAAATTGCTTTCCTTTGAAATTAACTGGTTAATTTCAAAGGATGAATTTATGGTTAATTCATCTAAATTTTTAAAGTTTAACAATACTGAATATAAATAAACAACATTAAAACCCAATATATTATAAACTACAAGCCAACCAATGCCATATGTCATTGGGCTAGATATCGGCTATAATACTAATAAATTATGAAACAATTTGGTACTAGAGGGAGACACTAAGTACCATCTCTTAATAAATTTAATAATTATAATTTTTAATTAAATAATTTAGATTACTGGACAATGTCTAAATTATTTAAGTTGAGTGCCTTAGGAGGTGTTTACAGGATGTGGGTGCTGGATGCATCCCCAGTTGGCACTGTAATAATTGTTGATGGTTGTAACGTAACGTTATATATACTGGAAGGGGAGATCAGACAGGAGGTCTTGGTAGTGAAATTGCAATGCATCTGCACAGTAAGCAGAAGTTGCAGCTTTGAGTCACTCTTCAGGCCGATTCTTTTCTTCCAGTAGTCTAAATTATTTAATTAAAAATTATAATTATTAAATTTAGTAAGAGATGGTGCCTAACGTCTCCCTCTAGTACCAAATTGTCTCATAATTTATTAGTATTATAGCCAGTATCTAGCCCAATGACATACGGCATTAGTTGGCTTTAGTTTAATACTGAATATACAGTGGTGCCTCGTATAACGTACGCCTCGAATAACGGATGCTGCAAACAATGGATTTTCTGTTTGGCCATTACGTGACTCAAGCAACGGATTGGCTGTGAACAACAGACTTTCCATTCGGCAGTTACATGAGCCGAACAATGGTCTTTCTGCAAACAAGTGCAAATGATGTTTCCACACTTTTGCCATTGCCAATGNGCAGCTTTGAGTCACTCTTCAGGCCGATTCTTTTCTTCCAGTAGTCTAAATTATTTAATTAAAAATTATAATTATTAAATTTAGTAAGAGATGGTGCCTAACGTCTCCCTCTAGTACCAAATTGTCTCATAATTTATTAGTATTATAGCCAGTATCTAGCCCAATGACATACGGCATTAGTTGGCTTTAGTTTAATACTGAATATACAGTGGTGCCTCGTATAACGTACGCCTCGAATAACGGATGCTGCAAACAATGGATTTTCTGTTTGGCCATTACGTGACTCAAGCAACGGATTGGCTGTGAACAACAGACTTTCCATTCGGCAGTTACATGAGCCGAACAATGGTCTTTCTGCAAACAAGTGCAAATGATGTTTCCACACTTTTGCCATTGCCAATGACCATCTGCTATTTTTATAATATATTAGTATTATTAGAATATATTATCAGTATATCTGAAGTACAGAGCATTGGGATTAGGCTTGCTCCCTTGTTTATTAGGTATATCAACACAGGGCAGGGTATTTACATTTATTCAAGTGTTGTGCAAATCATGCTTCTAAAAAAACAGAAAGGTGATTTCAATTGAAACAAAGCAAGAAATCATCAGAAGGAGTGAAAGTTGATCCGGACTTTCTTGTCAAATGGGGAGAGGTTCAGGAGTTTACCAACACTCACTATCCAAACACAGCTGAGGCCAACGGGATTAATGATCTCTACAATGACACCCTTGCCTGTCATTTCTGACAGGTGTTGAAGAGAGAGAAACAGACCACCTCGGACATGTTTTTCAAGAAGCAAGCTGCCAAAAACAAAGAATGAAACAAGAGGAGATGACCCTGCAAGCTCCGGTAGCCTTTCCTGAATCTGACTCCGATTAAAAAACAATAAAAAAGAGACCTGCTGCAATGTGTAAAAGTCTGTATCTGTATGAATGTGTAAAGAAAGTGTTCCTCCACCTCCTTCTCACAACATCTGACTACCCGACATAATTGGTGACTGCTCCATTTTCATTTTTTTTTATGGTACAGTATGGTTATTTTATGCTGCAGAACGAATTATATGTTTTAACATGTATTTCTAGGGGAAATGCGTTTCGTATAACGGACTTTTCACTTAATGTACGTGCACCTGGAACGGATTGAGTACATTATACGAGGCACCGCTGTATATGATAATCCATTGATATTCAAAGCACATGCTGAACAGTCTCTTTGTGATCATACAATTCTCTGTTTAACTACTCTCAGTTTTTTATAATCCATTTCCATGATGTTCATAATATGTCTTCATCTCTGTTGTGGAATCCCTAGTAAGTAAACATAGAGATGGAGGTATATCAAAACCAGGCTGAAAATGAATTATAAAGGAATGAGAGAACTTAGGATTGTTAGCCTAACTAACAACCTGTGTGATTTTTTTTGTTTAAATTATTAACTAGTCTAATTCAATGAATAAATTATAATAATGCATTTAATATAAATAGGCTGGATACATGCTGTTTTTACACCAGAAGATAGTTTAGTATTTGGTGGTAATTTCCTACATAGTTTTGGAATTAAGAAGCAACTACGTATTGCACAAGTGGAAGATATTACCCATGTAAAAATGTGTTATTGTTTTTGTTATTTGTTACTTTATAATGCTGTAACTTATAAAATGAAAATTAAAAAATTTTTAAACTTTATTTATTAGGTGCCTCCAAAATTTCGCTATCCATTTTATACAGAAATATTATGGTATGTTTTGCAACGTTATGTAAATTGTGTCAAAGGTAAAAATCATTTAACATGCAACGAAGAGGGTGATCCAGTCAAATTAGATGCAGTTCAACCTAATGGAACAATTTCTGAAGGTAATTTGATTTCTATCTCCAGCCAATTAAATCGACTTATTAAATTATTAACTATTTAATATATTATAATAGATTTCAATAATATTAAAGTCTAAATATTTTTTCTGTTTGTCATATATGTATGTTTTTTATTAATTATAAATTTATATTTTTTTAAAAATTGTTAACATAAACTTTTTTTAATTTTTAACATCAGTTTTAAAGATATTTTTACTTTTCAAATTGAAGTTATTACCAATATTCAATTATTTATTAAATATAATACAATAGAGCATTGATCATCCAACCCTCGAACAACCGTCACATTGGTTAACCAACTGTGTTCTAGTTGGCCAATTCAAATGTCCACTAGTGATGTGGTGCTACAATATTTGGCTATGTCTTGGCTACTTTAATATTAGTTTTACGTGTTTTAGCTGGCAACACTGGCTCGACCATGAAAGGGAGCCAGTATTTGGACGAGACTTAATTTTCTAATTTTTAACGATACAATAGCAACGATTATTATTTAAATAAAATTTTTGTTAGGCTTAATATCGATGAAAATTCAACGCGAAGTAGGTTAATAGTGATATACTAATATACTATACAGTAATACCCCGACTTACACGAACCCAGAGTTACACGATTTTCAGATCTCGTTGATTCGTCTTTTGTTTGAGCGCCACGCAACCCTTGATTACTCACTCCCCCCACACTATTGTTCAGCTTACATGTTCAGCTTACATGTTCGGATGTGTTGCGCGGAATCCACACAGAGCTACAATTTATTTTGTGTATTATTATTCTGTGTTTGTTGTGGAGACTCGAGAGACTTTACTATGTCATCCAAACAAAGTAGAACTAATTCTTCTGCATCAAACAAGAAAAGAAAAACTTTATCTTTGGAATGTAAAGTTAACATTGGGTATGTTCGTAAAGTCGAACGAGTTAAACGAGAATGACGTCATCGTTATTCCTATTTCGTTAGACTTTTTGAACGATTCGTTACTAACGCATTTAACTCGTTATTATTAAAGACTTTGATACAAAAATGAAAATTAGTGAATTGGCAAAGAAGTTTGATCTACCGGAATTGTCGGTCAGAACAATTATAAAAGGCAAAGAAAAAATTCTCGAAGCTGTGAAAAATGCTCAATCTTTAAATTCAAGCA